GTCTAGAAACCAAGCTGGACGTACCTTCAATTGTCCCAAGAGGGGTCAAAAAGCAGAGCCCTGATAGGTGCATGTTGCCTGTTCTCCATCTTTGGGTTCTACAGCTTCGTCCTTGGCCGGCGTGTTAGCCTAAATCAGGTCATCAATGCTCAAGGCCTTGTGGTATCCGCGTTCTACATTGCCCTCACTTTTATTGCGCTTCAGCCGCTCCAGTGCAACAGAAATCCGGATGGCAGTTCCGCCTTGGTGGCCTACAGAGGCATTACTTGCTGGGAAGATGGTAAGCACCTGTGAAGTCAGCCAGCAGTCGTTTTCTCTGGCTCTTCTGCCGTTGCACATCCTATCAAAACCCAGAAGTTCAATCTTTCTCCTGAAGCACCACGGGAACATGCCTAACTAAGGCATTCAGTCATGCTGGCTCTTTCGCTGTTTCCTCTCTGCGGGGTGGTGATGACTTACCTTGCTCTTGTGAGCTGGGCCGTGTGGCAGCAGCCCGTCGAGAGATGGAATTGACATCTTCAACAGGAAAGCCGGCTAGTAGCTACACAAACACAAGTGTGTTCACCTACGCTCATATAATATGTCTCAGGGGAATTGGTGAGGTCTTGTGAGATTTCTGTTGCTGCCACTTGCGCGCAGCTATATTGACATTAATATGCGTATACGTGTAACTCTACATATAGACACATGCATACATTCGAACATGCACACACACACACATGTACACATATACATATTTACATGCACAGATACTATACGCTTAGCACAAGCAAGATGGAACGAACTCCTGGCAGATCCGCTTGAGAAACGGAAGAGGCCTGATTCCTGCCAAGGGCACATCTAATACCTGCAGACAAATGATGCCCAAAGTTGGCTCCCATGTTCCCATGGTAATCCACATAAATCCCTCAGCCCCATAAAGGGTACACGCTTCACCCCTCATGCGTGCACGGGTCAACTGCCAATTTAGGGCTTACTGGGTTCTCAACCCTGGAAGACAAACCCTGGAAGACCGTTTGCCACCATCCTTCGCCCCTGACACGCAGAACCTTTTTAATACTAACAGTTATTGTCAATGCATGGTGCCATCGCTGACACACACTGCGTGTTAATTAGTTGGAACCACGTTAGAAGGCAAGCAATCCTTAACCCCAAACTCTAGCTGCAGGTATCCAACAATTTGCCGTGGTCCTGGCGGAGTGGATTTTGTCAAGCGCTGGTCTTTTCTCTTCTCACGCTTCACGGCACGAAGTCGTATTTGCAGGCTTTTCTGCTTCTTGTTGTTATGTTCTTATGAAGTTGCCAGTGCTATCACCACTGCCCTTTGTCACTGCATATAATATGCTATCATGCTGGCGCCCCTGCTTGTGACAACACACCCCTTCACCGCCAGCATGACTGCAGGTACCACAACCACGCGCACTCTGAATGCTGTTGCTCTGCCAGCAGCAGCGCCAGCACCACCACCGCCACCACCAGCGGCGGCCGCAGCACAAGCAGCAGCAGCAGCAGCAGCAGCAGCGCCACCGCCATCCCCACCCCTACCCCCACGCCCACCACCACCCCCACTGCCGCAACCACCAAGACTACTACGACGACGCATATAGCTGCGAAATCTCATGACCATAGCAAGAACTGAATGGCGCCTGCTAGAGCTTGCTCAATCAAAGTCGCCTTTGTGGCAAACTGATGAGTTCTTAAATTGAGGATGTTTTGTGCTCTCTCATATTTTAATTATCAGGAACCCAGGCATTTTACTTATACCTGCGCCGGTTTATCAGTTTTGAAGCACTCAGGATTTCACCAGCACAGCTATTTCTTTGCCTTGGCCGCACGGCTGCAAGAAGTTCGCATCAGTGTTGGGAAAGCTCACCTTGAGTAACATCATCAGTACTTCTTCCCGATCTTGATTACGCTAACCGATTCTGATGCCCTCCCCTAATGTGAACGTGAGCCGGGGCTACATGGCCCTAATTGCTTCCACTGTCTTGTCACACATGCCGCGAGTTGGCATTTGTACAGCAGACACAGCATGCCTGAACAAGGCGTGTTCTTGACAGCTTGTGATAGTTGCACACGTCAAGAGGCAGAAAGGTGTATGCAGTTTCCTCATGCTAGGCTTATTCGAAGTGAATTCTCCTCGGCCTTTTGTTAGTTTAGCTGAGATGTGCCTCCACACGTTCTATCGTCTTCAGTACTGCTGCAGGTCATGACTGTCAGAAACCTCATTGTCGGATTGTGCCCCATTCTTTTCGTGCATTTGCCTGCGCTGCAGCTTCTGAAGCTCGGCAAGGTTCAAGTAAAGTGAGCGGTCTCAAGAAGGGAAGGCCCACTACTACCCCGATGTCACAGCAAGCTTTGCTGTTATGAAGACTTTCCATCATCGTACTTGCACTGACTGGAACTCAGCTTAATTAAGCAGGGTGAATCCTGAGAGTTTTTGTTCAGAAGTGATTTTAGCGGGAAGTTGAGGGTTTAGGAAGCTTTGAAATGCTTTGAAGTCCCCAAGTAGAAGCCAGCGCCATTGTTGGGAAGGCCTCCACAGATCTCAACACCACTTGAAACGTTACTCAGCTGTTGTTCACAATTTGACACATGCGTGTAAGCGAACCAGAGGTTTGGGCCACCCGATTATAATGATACCTGTATTTCCCCATAGAACCATGTATACTTAGCTCCTGCTGTATAGTCTCTAAAGCCTTCGACAAACGGACAGGCCTGTCTGAATAGAGGTGTTTGGCCTGCATTTGATCGATCGGTGCTGAGGCTGCTGAACGTCACGATTGCGGCGTACGGCTTCTTGCGTGGTTTAGGCAAGCTGTTTGGGGCAGTCCAGCTTTTGCAAATTGCTCACACATGTACAACACTAGCAAAATTTCTTGCCGACTCTTACGCGTTGTCTTTTTGGAGTAACTGGGCTTGTCACGTAAGAGTTGCAGCAACCAGAGCCCATCCTTGAAATTCCAAACTGAACCACATGCACACCCTCGAAGCCCAAACAACCAACAAGTCCGAGACAGTGCGTCTGAGGCTTTCTGACTGTCCGCGTTTGGCCTTGGCGAACGTGGATCCTGAGCTGAGCCAGATAGGAGCCAGAAGCCGAAAAGGCCACCAAAACAAATCCGTGTAGAATGCATGGTTTGCACTCAACTGGCTCAAGACCTCATACAATCCAGCCTCAACGAGTCAAACCATCACCGCGCCAACTTTTGAAAGCTAGGGCTTCCCTCGAGCAGCATCGAAACATTCTAGCCGTTGAAATGATTGAAAAGGACCTAGGAGGCTACCGTCCAGATTCATGTCACCCAAGGATTGGCAACATCCTTGACTCCGGACTCTGTCTTTTCCTTCTCCTGGTGGTGGCTGTAGGGCAGCTGTTTCTTGCCTGCGTCATGTTTCGGGTAGAGCTCAGTTTAGGTTGTGACTTCTTAAATGCTCGGCATTTGGGATGCTCAGGGCAAACGATCGAGGTGACAGCATTGGGGATTGAAGGCTGCGGTGTCTGGACGATTTGCCTTTCTGCAGAGAACGCAGACCGCAGACGGGGGGGTGTGTTCAGCACGTGCGTAGATTCCAGTAGTTCAGGGCCAGACGCCCCCTGACTGGGGCCACTTGGGCTTAGACTCGACTCTGACTAAGACGCGAGGAAGTTTGACGTTTGATTGAAGATGTTGACTTTAGCTTGCCCCTTTTCCTGTCACGTGAGAAATGCCTTCCGTTCGCAGACATGTTACACTACACAAGCATTCGCTGAAGCTCCCGGCGAAGCAATGTTTAGGGATCTTGAAGTAAACCTTGAAGAGTCCTTCACCACCAGCACACCTACCATCCCACCTTCAGTAGAAGCTACATGGAGAGTCAAGAGGGCCAGCCGCGATTCTGAGAAATTTCGACGGAGGCTTCTGTTGGCGTTTCTGTTTGCAAGTGCTGGACCCTAAAGTAGGAAGGACGGTTTGCTTCATGTAGAAGACGTGTTAGCTGGAAACGTGGTCCCCAAGCATTTACCAATGCACTCCCTCTTGAGTAGTGGTGCATGCCACGGTGTTCGTATTCTCGAGGCCCTTGTAGTAGGGTACTGGTACACCATTGCGGCCTTGCTAAGAGAAGTTGCAAGTCGAGTTCGAGTGAGAAGTGTCAGAGGAAAGCTAAGGGCTAAGAAGTTGCAGAGCATGCCCTGCTGAGGTTGCTGAACAGGAATGAAGAGAACATACTGGTGATCCAGGCGTGGACGTTCAAACTCAGCTCTTCCTTATCATAGTCAGTTCACCAAGGGACAAGGAACCCACTCCTTTCGGGATACTGTTACCGTAAGGAGTCGGGTTCTGTTACTGGTGGAGTATGTATCCGCGTGGTCTCAAGACCTGAACCCCAAACCAGACTTTGTTGGATTCTCCTCACCCGCCAAGACTTGAAAACCCAAGTAGAAGCAGAGACCTGAACATTTCAGCCTGCAATCAGAAGCCTCTGTTGCTTGCTTACAGTAATCTTAGAAATCAGATGTTGCTCTTGAGCTTGAAGATCAGAATAAAGAACTTTCAGCCATGCACCGCTTTGGATTGAAGCGTGCCAGGTCTTCCTTCTGATGCTGTTTGCTTCTGCAATCATTGGGTGTCTCGGCAGACTTCCTTTCGCCAAACGCGGTTCCTTCCCAACAGACTACCCACGTGGCAGCTAGGTTCTTCCCCACTGCGATAGGTTGACAAATGCAACTTCAAAGCTGCTACCAGCGTCTAGGGAATCTAGTAGCTCAAGGTTAAGGAGTTAGGGTTGCGCAGTGCCTTTGTATCTTTTATCCCCTTGCCCTTTCATTCAAGGCTTGTGTTGCGCAGGGATGTTATCAGGACGGTTCTCCAGGGATGCTCGATTTCTCTGAAAGTCTGAAACCTGAGACGCTGAAGTCGCAAATTGTTGCTAGTGTACTATGCAGCACATTACAGGATGGTGGTTCCGGGCGTTATTACCTCAGACCTGATCTAAAAAGCCCTGAACCTAGGCTGGCAATGGCACTGGTCATGTCTATGCTACGACTGATGCAGAGCTCGCGGCCGTATGGGGTTCCTTGTCACTGAACCATTGCAATGAGGGGCCACCAAGTCCGTGTGATTTTCACATGACTATGGTATTTTTTAGGCTGCGGCTCAGTGCTTCTGGCAATACTTGAGATGTTGTGGATCTATTTGGTGTTACCTCTTTGCAGCGGATGGGTGGGTTGTTGGGCAGGGAATCCGATTTCGATTTTGGGGCCCATCGAACTTCAACTGTGAATTAGAATGGCATTGAAAAGCACGAGTCTCACAGAGCCCAAGCTCGTGCCATCTGATGCTGGCGGTCGTAAGAGCAAGAGAACGACAGACGCAGCCAACAGGTTTGCGCTAGGTGTTTTTCTATTTTGTACTTCCAAGCTGTTGGAGACCCCAGGTTTTCATTAGCCACCACAAGCGAGCCGCCGGTACACTCGCACGGTGGTTCAAGATCATGCTCTCAGAGAAAATGAACGAGAGGACGCTCATATCATTTGGACAGCAGCAGAATTTCGGGCTAATTTCTAGCTTTGAGAAGGCTTGGCGAAATCAATAGAAACTATAATATAGCGGCGTTTTGTCTTCCTCGCTGGCTCTCAAATCTGCAGGATATTCCTGGATTCCGATGATGTAGAATATCTGGAGACAATTATTGACATCACCAGCGCCGGCACAGAGAACCTCTTGGTACTCATAACATCCGAGACACTTTCTCGCGTCTGGTGCGCCGCCGAGGCGCCTCGGAGATCTCATGCAAAATCGTCATGTGTTCATTGGTTCACGGTTTAGGGTGTAGGCGTTCTGCGGAATCTGCCCCGAAACCTAAACTCTAACCCCAATGGAAGCCCTCAGGGAGCAACAATTCAACAAGCCTCAAGAAGAAAGGTGTCAAGCGCGTGGTCTTCGGGCACAAACATTGTCTTGGTGGCTTGCGACGGCTGTGGCTGGATCATTGTTATAGGTTTCATGTCTCTGGTGTTTTTTGAGCAAGGGCACCCTCCGGCTTTGGTAGCGGGAGCTGATAGTGGGAGTATGGTAGGCCCTATTTGGAGACATGGTCATGTCCCTTTTTCTGCGGCATTCGATTACGGAAAAAAGCTTGGTGCTCATTCTTGGAACCTGGGAGTAATCAATAAAGACTGGCCCAGGTGGAGTGACTCACGAGGATATAGAAGCGATTCCGAGCGTATGGACTGAAGAGCAGCGGACGACTCTGACAAACATCGGAGTATCCTTCCAAAGTGTCAAGGCTAGATGGCCCACCAAAAAAACCTAGTGTATTGGGTTATACTGGGATAATGAAAATAAAATGGAAACTACGATAATGTATTGGGGTTATATTGAGATAATGGAAGATAGAATGGAAACTTGTTCAACACAGAGGGTATACACCACTAGGGTTTAATTCTCATTAGCAGAGACACCTCAAGAAGGCGGCAAACGTAGGGCCTGCGCAGGTGCCCTTTCTCTAGTAATACATGTTGGGAGGGTGGTTACATATGGCTTTTCAAATTGGAAGCCCGTGGAGGATGCTTACCTGGGATTGCTCGCCAAGCCTGTAGTCACTTTAGACGCTGAAGGATGATTAGCAAGTTTTTGTGTTTTGTTGCAGACTTCATGTTAGTATTTAAGCCAGATTCGTGGCAGTCCTGTAGCGTATTACGAATGGCAGATTCCGACTTTTCCACATGTTTCATTCTGTGTATGTCAAAGAAATTTCATGAAGGGCCCCTTTTTATTAGGCCCTCTTGTCTTGCTGTAGCACTGTGGCAAGTGTCCAAAAGCGAATTCACCCAGGACAGACGCGGGGCCGACCTTCAGGAGCACGAGCTGGCAGCGCAGCGTGTGTTGGGATTGTGCACAGGCATCTCGCGAAATCTTGCCCGCATGATATCACCTGGAACAAACTCCAACGACTTGGCCTCTTTTGACAACCCTGGTCTCGCCCCTTGGCGGCATCTGAGCGTTACGTGTCCTCTTTGAGGAAGGTCTCCTGCTGTTGGGGAAGGCTTCTCGGGGGTCCCGCGTTTTTGGACAAGCTCACCTGAAATTTAGTGTCAAAAGCGAGGGGTGCATGACGGGATTGACGAACCTGCTACGCTTTTGGCGTGGCGGATGCGGTAGACGTTTAGGCCCTGTAGGTGCTAAATAAGTTCTAGCCTCAACCAATGTGTTGGGTTTACAAGACATTTCACACAACTGTAGCAACCTCAGTCTGGATTTGCAAAAATCGATACTGTAGCCCCCAAACATAAGCAGCATAGAGCATGGTCATATCCTGCTTATAACAAGAGCACAACCGTACTTGGCTCAACCGCCAAGAGCTGCTACTCACGCAGTGAGCTTTACAAGATGTTTGTGCTGCTTTGACTCTGTGGGTCATTTCCTTTGGGCGCGAGGGCACTGGAGTGTACATCAAGAGCTCATTCTTTTCTCCTTATTGTTTTTCTCGCCACAATCAAAAAGACCCTCGTGCCTCTTCAAAAGGAATGGTAGCAGGCCGTCCCCTAGAGAGCCAAGAAATATGTAGCTTCAGGACTCCTGAAAGTCCTCGCTTCTTGGAATCCCATTGCTGGACACCACGGTTGCACCCAGGTTCCCCCTACACCTAGTTCTGATGAAGAATCCGGCAACATATCTCAGGTCATGCTGGGAGATATCCAAGGATCAGAGCAAGGCAGTTGTTGCCGGGTGACTTGCTTGAATCCTTTTGTCATGCGCTCTCTTTATTTTGAAGTCCCCCTGCCGTGAGAACGAATAATGCTTGCCCAGAGTAAGCAGAAGATGTGTCTTAATTCTGCAAAGGCTATATGGATGTTTCCACAAGTTAGGGTGCCCCAATATGGACCGCATACTACGGGACTCTCACAAGGGTCCTCTAGCCGAGTATGGGCTCTGGATCCCCTTCATCCCACTTCATCAGGGGACTAGGAATACTGCTGTTCAAATATGCACACCTTCTTGGGGGGCCAGTTGGGCAGCAATTACCAGATGTAACGGTTTGGGCTGATCGGGTTGAGTCATTTGGTTCAAGGTGAATGGCTGCTTGAGGGTTGCAGGCTGAGGGCTGGGCATCACCACTCCCGCTGAGAATTCAGCCAGGTGATACAACTGCTGCTGCAGAGGCAGCTGGAGGAACAGATTTGTCTATTGATCCTGGGATTGTCACTTTACGTGGGGTGGATGGGGGGATCCAGAAAATGTTTACATCTTTTTTTTTTTTGCGATAGTGAAAATACTTGACTTGAGTTAGTGTCACATCTGGCTAGGCTTCCAGGGCAAGAAGAAGATTGTTTGGACCTTGCTAAAGACTTTGACTCTAAACTTGCGCTTTCTACCTTGTCAACCGAGAGCAGAAAGCTTACGGGTTCCACCGAGTGTGCAGGACAGGTTTGTGGAAGAAGGTTCTGGGCAGTATCTTTTTCAAGAAGGAGCGACTGGTCCCTTGAGGAGTAGGTAAGTGAATCCCCTGAAATGTTCCATCTCCCCCTTGGGCACCAATAAGTCCAAAGTTGAAAGTGACCCAGGAATCCAGATTTGGCAGCGCTGGACATGAAACTTGGATCGTTTTTTTTGATATGCTGGATTATGCAAGTTTTGCAGATTGATTCCTGAATACTCCCAATGGGAGACCACTTCTTCTTTTCTTCTTCATGAACCTACCCATACAGAGTCTGCAGGTTACTCCACTTCTGAGAAACCCCCGCATGTTCTACATCAGAGGAGTTGTAAGGGTCCCGCAACTCGAACCCTCAATCCGTCAGCCCGAATTCCTAAACCCTAAACGGCCCTAAACCTTGGAAAGCCTGGACCCAGGAAAAGCTTGCACATCATCGTAAAGGGCGCGAAAGCAGTTCTCGTCATCCTCACGTGCCTTTGCGGGGCGGGGGGGACATTTTTGGGGGCTTGATATGGTTCGAGTGTGTGTTGGGAATTGATTCAGTGTTTTCGGGGCTTCGTTTGAATTATGGTGTCCTTGATGTATAAACGCGTACCCCTATTGTACTCAAAACCTTCCTCTTTTTTGTGCTCAACTTCTTTTCTAGAAGGGAAGATGTAAAGCATGCTATGCCAACCAACCAGAACCCTACCCCTAAACCAGTAGTCGAGACTCCAAAGCTGCATTACCCAGGCAAGGCATTCTTGAACATGCGCCTTTCGCAGCTTGCCTGACTGCATGCGCAGTTTCGGACGCCGAGCTCATTCCTGTCAGGGCGGATGAGTCGTTTTTGTACCCGGACCCATTGTTCTGGGAGAACTTGGTCGCGGAAACCTTTTTTACTGAATCTTGCTGGTGGAAGTCTGAATTCCTGTAAATTTGGAGCGCCTTGCTTAAGTCTACTTTGACGAGTTGCAGTTTTGATTTCTTTCGATGTCAACCGGAAGTGAGGAAAGATACTTGGCCTCATGTGGCACAGAACTGGCAACCGTCAAAGCCACCTACACACTCCTCTTCAACATGCTTGCCTTGAAGTTTACATCGCATGGCACAGAGTCCATCCAGACAACTGAGATCCATCTGATGTGTGGTAGGATTCTACCCTTGATGCGACCTGACGCGCAACCTCCAAGCATTCAGGTCTCAAAGTCCTTTAAGCGGAACTCCGGCCGCGAGTCCAGGCGCGACAGCATTCGCATTTCCATCCGCGAATCCTTCCGCCGGAACACCTCCAAGAGAGACAGTGAATCAACCCATGGGACCGGTACTCCTAATGACAAAGAGGACGTAGAAGTAGAAGAGGCTTTTTGACTCAGAGCGACGAACGAATTGTAGATAGTGTTCCTCGTGCCAGCCCGTGTTGCTAAGCAACGGGCCTGCACCCCAAGCATGACTCGACCAGGGTGTTTCTGCAAATCGGGCTTTCCCTACTCTGAAGATGAACCCGAAGTCCTATCACACTGAACAGAAACCCACGATTTGAGACACCCGCAACAGCTCTCGCAGAACAAAAAGCTTCATGCGTCGCCTGTAGGCCTCCGTCTTTCGCCCAGAAATGTTAGTTCGGGCCTCTGCAAGTTTGAGCACAGCCTTCGCCTCAGGAGATGATTGGACATGTCTATGAAAGGAAGCACACTATTACTGAAGGCCATCTTCATCATTGCTGCTCATTGCCTATGAGTCTCTAAGCATGAAAGCCAAAATTTCAAAGCATGGGACCAGAAGCACGAAGCAAAAATATCAATCATGTACCCGCAAGTACGTCAAACTATGCTTCCAGCACCCTACTGAAGGGGTCCAGTTGCCTACGTAGCTTATTTGTCCCATGTAACCTGTATGTACACAGGTTCAGACTGTAAATAAGCTTTCAATGCAACTTGCAGAGGCAGAAGGCAGCAGTTTCGGGAGCCCATGTCAACACCGCCCTCAAGCCAAATGCCCAACTCGTTACCAAGGTGACAAGAGGCTGACGCACCAGACTCGGACGGATGATGTGTCAGAGTTTTGTGTCCTAGGGGCTTTTGAAGCTACCAGTACTGGGGGTTCTTATCAGTTCAGTACAACATTATGATGATAGGACCCTAACCCATTCAAAATCCTCTTCAGTTTTAGGTTCATGGCTCCGTGTCGGGCAGCATTCAGAATGGCAAGCATGACACGGTGAAAGCAGGGACGCTACTGAGTTTGTATTTCGTAGCAATCGTCGTAGAGTAGCTGTGATACGCGTGTTTCTCTACATCATGGTCCAACCAGCGTTTTTCGGAGCAGGGTACCTTTCGGGAATGGATCTTGAGGATCTTGAAAGAGATTGGGGTGCAGTAGTTGGCAATTTCCATTTGGAGGGGCGGCGTGGAATTCAGGGGCTGACGAAGCAATGAGAAGCAGATCATAGGTGTGCTAGAAATTCCCGCCCAATCCCAAACTTTAAAGAAGCATTGAGATTCGGGTTTTGTGGAGTCTACAATGCTTATCGCGAAGAGTATTCATTCAATCCAAGACGCACTTTTCTATTTTGGGTAAAGGTGTTGAGCGTGTGGAAGTCTAATCTTTCATGCATACTCCCGGTAGGACTTGGGGTCTAGCGTGCAGACGGAGTCCTCATACATACTCCACTGTCGGGTTCACTGCCCTAGTTGTTCTGTTTGGACATTCATTTCTCAGCACACAGAGGGCACAGGCACTTCACTGACACTGAGTCAAGGCCTGCATGGGGGGACGTAGCAGAAATTGCCATTGCTATGCATTCGCGCGCGCCTTTTTGCTACCGTTTGCAACAGCACCCATGAGTAAGTGCTGGCTTTGTAGCCGCCAAAGCCCATACCAACCCCTTTCCTTCATCTTCCTCTCTGACGATGTGTGAAGATGAGCATAGGTTGCCCAGTAGTTGCAGGGAAAGACCGAAGCAGTCCATGTGTGTCCTTCTAGGAGTGGCCCGGCTGCAGGGTTTCGTGCCACAAGTCCATGTGAGCACGCGAAAGAATGTGAAGTAGGACATGGTAGCCCTGAGCGCCCAACTGCATTAGCAACAATCTCTAGTCCCTACAATTTCCCATCCTGCCCCTTGATTTTTCTGGTTGTGCCTCACATCCGGGCTAGGATGCTGTATAATTAGCCAACATGAATGAGCGCACTTATCCATAAACACATACAGAAAATTCCAGACGCCTATATCTGCACGCGAAGCGCAAAGTTCCCCAAAACAAGGTAGGAAACCCGCCGGTAGGCGCAGCTGAGTTTGAATTCTGAATCTGATGCATCCAGACACTTCCCAAAGATAGTTTCCTGGCAGCCTCACAGATGTTGGGAGGCAGGGATGGCAGCTCCGCTAAGCCCAGGGTTCAAGAAACTTTTTTCTAGGGACTACTAGAGCCCATTTATTTCAGAAAATATGGGATTTACTAGGGTACTGGACATTGGTTTAGGGGGTTTTCGGGCTTTTAGGTCTGGGTTTCTGGGCGTTCCTGACTTGGGGTTGACGGCTTAAGGCATTTTTTCAGCTCTGGAGGAATCCAGCCTCGTCCCTATATTGAAAGCTGTCCGAATGGCTCCCTTGTACGGGTTCATGATGTAAACTGCTATATCATATAGGCTTCCTGAGGGAGGCAGTTATAGCTTTGACTACAGTTCTAGAAAACACAGCTAAGGCTTCATACGTGTTTTCATGCTGTCAGTTTGCTGCTCAGTGCGAGCAAATCGGGTCTTGCAGTTTCCATTGTTTTGCTACGTAATCCCAGTATGCATATACTGTGCAAATACGTATGGACCGAGTTTGATTTTGATTGCAAACCCTGAAGCATGATAACTCTTGATTTTGTAGCCTGTGACATTTGGAGGACAGACTTTGTTGGATGTCGGTGCTGTTCTGTGCCCCCGCTAGCTGTGAACATGTCTGCTTTGCGCCCAACCCTTTCTCATGTCTGCCCGTGCTGACCCGAGCACCATGCGCGTCGTTCGACACAGCTTTGTGTCCTCTTACTGTGAGATTCTGATGGATTATTGCAAGATGCCGTGTAGGCCAGTACTTCCAAAAAAAGTCTTGAAGCACCTGGGAGCCCCAGCACCGCGTGTTCTGAAGTACACTGCTGCAGGTCCGGTCCGCGTATGTACAGACGCAAATAGCGCCCATCTGAACTCCCGCAAACAAGCACTGTTCATGCATGTCAGCTCGTAGTTGCGAGATACTGAGTACAATCTTTGGGTAAAGAATTTATGAAAATCGTCGTTGAGCCTCTTGGACTCCCATCTGCAGCTCCGCGCGCCCTAAAGAGTCTGCATTGGCCACTCTGCTGAGCCACTTCTGACTGCCGCCCGCAGCTGCAAGCTCTCGGCATCTTTCCTCTGACATGATACATGCGGGGGGCATCTGCTACAGCTTGTGGTTTAAAGTACAAGCAAGGCGTGCAAAGCACTACACACAGCAGGTTCAACCGCAGTCTCATCTACGTTGTTCTTCAGGCTTGAGAAACAGGACTTCTTGGTGTTGCGGATTCTAATTGGAGCTGGTGGCTCGTACAGACCAGATTTGCTGCAAGAACCTGAACGTCTTTCACTCACTGGGCTGTAGCTTCTTCTGTCGCAGCGCAAGCACAATTATGGAGCGTCCTGCGCAATGCGCGAGTCTCAGATGGAGGTTGTATTTGCGTGCAAATTCGTTTATTCCCTCGCTGGGCTTTGACCCCCAAGTTAGATGTTGTCAATCTCCTAGAAGTTGGACCGGAACCCAGGAGCGTTGTTAGCTTGTTGTCTTTCACAGCTTCAGGCAGGCGGCGTGGACGCAGGTACCTTCTACACATGGGCATTGGATAGTTTGGAAATGTTTGGAAGAGTGTTATATGGACTTGCACATGCAAGGATAATGTACATGCCCATAAGTGGCGACACAACAGTACTTCTTTGTAATTACTCCTCTGCTAATTATCCTAGAATCTCATGATACGCAAAAGCTTATTCGAATTGTTTATGCCCCTACATTACCCATCTGCAAACAAGCAAGGTCACTGCATGAGAGCGACATGAGCAATTCCTACGAAAGCAGCTCTCAAGAATGAATCCCAACCGGAAGAACTTCTTTGAACAAGCACTGTATGAAGCAGCGGTCTGTATTATTGTGGTCCACCATGCGTGGGACACCCGCGTATAGTATGCAAGTGCTTGGGGACGTCAGCCGTGGTTGCATCTCAAGTCGAGGGCGACCCCCCCTCGCAATAGTGTGCAGAGCAATAGTAACAGTACCACAGGAAAGGATATGAAAGGATAGTGGGATCCCCAAGTAAACGAGCCCCAGTCAAGATGCTTGCATATTTAGAGGCAACACCCATGAATCAGTGTTTGGTGAGGCCCTGTCTGCGGCCCCGGCCTCAGGAGGTTTATGTCGATGCACTAGGCAAGATGCAAGAATTTCTCAAGACAGTCTTCAGTAAATCTCCGATTTGGGCCCCGTTGATCCTGTATTTCCCTAGGGCATAGGTTCCACAAAGGGCTTCCTAGTTTCCAGAGAAGGTTATGCAAAAGTGGGGGGGGGGTACTGCAGTTTAGGGCTCCTAGCAGGCATGTTAAGCAGGCCTTAATGATGACCTATAAGTTGTGCCTTGTAGCAGAGTTACTGGGATGCTGTCCATGCAGATCATGGTAGCAAAAATCCTGCACATTGTCTGTGGCCTGGACAAGGTTCCCTGCAGGAGCTCAGGCTTTCACAATTCTATATGCCCTCTTGAAGGCCGACACGGTGATAAGCCTGGAAGAAAGAAGGGCCCTTTCGGTACTCTTTTGTGGAGCCCGTAGTACCCTAACTTCGCGAAATATTCCTGCCCTGACTCAGGCAACATCTATCTTTCAGACTCTGACTTCTGCAGGCGCCTACAGGGCAGGGCCTACCCGAGTCTACCCCAGTGTACGAAACGTGGGGCCTCATACAAGCACTCTGTCAGTTTGATAATAGCCTTTTGGCGGGACCTATTCGTTTGCCCGGAGAATGAAGGTGTCTACGACGTGGCGTTGACACGATGCTGAGAAGTCGTCTCATTAATTAAACAAATTCGTTGAGGAAGAACAGCTTTACAAGTACCGGTATCAGGCTGAGGGTTTAGGGCTACGTGCTAGTGTTCGCGCACAGGTAATAGTCATATCGGTTTTTTGGACATGTGAAATCTCTCTGGGAACCAGCGGGAACGGGGCAGTTTTCCCCCACTCCCGGCGCTTCCAGTGGGGCCTTTCCCTGATGGGTCTATGTCCTCAAATATCAATGCTTTGGGCATCAATCGCTGTTGCCCTCATGGCTGTGGTAGCTGCAACCCCGCTGCTAAAACCCTGAA